ACCGAGAAAGCTGTATGCGCGCACTTTTATTTAGTTTGTTATTTTGGGGGAAATATTTTGTATTTTATTTTATTGTTTTTTTCATTACATTGTTGCAGCTGCTGTGTGTCAAATATAACAAATTTGTGAACAGTCTATTGTGGTGTGGTCTCTCCTTATTGGTGTTTATACCTTGGGCTCCTGCCGATCCTAGATCTTCTGCTACTGGCTAGTGGAGTTCGGTCATTCTTAATGATAAGTCGTAAGTCCGGTTACATAAGTGGCGAGCCAGCCAGGAGCCTAAGAATTTTTAAACATCAGTAATGAGAAATTGTGTCTGACATGGATTTTGTCCAGCGCTCAGGTGTAAAAATTCCCAATGCAGTTATTGTGAGTGGGATCACGAAATCAGAGAAAGATGAAGAAGTTTTAGAGTTCTTGAAAAAGTATGGTGGTGTTAAAACCCTTTTGCCAGTGGATGATGCTACCTCAGAGTTTCATCAAAACCTGATTGTTGAGTACTCAAGTGGCTCAGCTGTAGAAGCTTTAGAGCCTCTTATGCCATACAAGTATGTTGCAGAGGGTGAACCAAATGTCTCTTACCGTGTGAGGGCCTTGGCAAGCGTTTACACTGCTAAGGTGGGTGAAGGTGTCACGAAGTCATACTTGGCTGAATTAAAGGGCTTGGCTAAGCTCAGTGGCAAAACCTATGAGGAAGTATTGAAAGAGATGATATCACAAATCTGTGAGACAACTGAGACTACAGATGAGGCACCTTCTGTCTTACATGATAGCATTGTTGATGAGACACCAATACCACAGCCCCAGTTGCTTTCAGGTCCCTCAAGGGTAAGCAGTGACCAAGGTGTCTCAACTCCAGTTCCACCCTTGCGTGTACAGAAGCCTTCAATAGTGATTAGTGATGTAAATCCCCCTGAAGTTCAGAAGGTCGTTGTTGAGCATATTTTAAGGAAGGATGACATTGGATCACAGATCCATTCTTCAATGCGCATCCGTTCCTTCTCAGGAAAAACTCCCAGGCCTAACAATGAGACAGACTATGAGACTTGGCGCTCACACATTGAGCTGCTTTTAAGTGACCCCAGTATGACCCATCTGCAGGTGTCCAGGAAGATTTTAGAGAATTTGCTTCCACCTGCAGTTGATGTGGTGAAGTGCTTGAGTCCCAGCGCACCCCCAGTAGCCTATCTGCAGTTGCTCGATTCAGCCTTCGGCGCTGTAGAGGATGGTGAGGAGCTTTTTGCTCAGTTCATGAATACCCTTCAGGACCCAGGCGAGAAACCATCAGCTTTCCTCCATCGTTTACAGCTAGCACTAAATTTAGCAGTAAAAAGGGGGGGTATTCCACCTGATGATGTAGACAAACATCTCCTCAAGCAGTTTTGTAGGGGGTGTTGGGATAGTGGATTGCTCTCCAGTCTGCAACTTGAACACAAGAAAAACTGTCCACCGTCATTTTCAGAGCTCTTGCTAATGTTGCGTACCGAAGAAGATAGACAAGCTGCAAAGGTTGATAGGATGAAAAAGCACATTGGTTCATCAAAACGAGTATCTGTCCATGCTCAGAGTTCCTGTGTTTGTGCAGGCTTAAGAGAAAGCCCACAGTGTGGTCCGAAAGCTATTGAGGAACTTCAAAAGCAGATAGCTAGCTTGCAGAGTCAGCTAGCCTCATTTGCATCACAGGAAAAGCTAAGTGAGCGTGCCAACAAGAAATCGGTTAAAAAGACAACCTGTAAATCGAAAATGGACAACACACATCAAGAAGTGCATCGATTAGCCGGAGTAAAACAGACAGGCAGGCCCAGGCCTTGGTATTGTTTTCACTGTGGGGAAGATGGGCATATTGCCACTTCTTGTACAAACCCTGCAAATTCTGCACTAGTTATTGAAAAGAAGAAGCAGTTGGAGAGGAGGCAGCACGCGTGGGAAAGTCAAAGTTGTCCCAGCGACTCCAGTTCACCTTTAAACTAGATCCAGTCTCTGTTGTGGGACAGACAGAGGCTGAAGAACATGCGCAGCGTCCCACAGACGTAAAGATTGTCAGCAAAGCAGGCAAGTGTGTGGATCTAGAGCACTCCAGTAGTGAAAAGCAATCCTTCAGGCTCCCAAAGGGTCTGATTGGTACCAGGAGCACTGCTGAAGTGATAATTGAAGGTAAAACATTTAGTTGTCTGCTCGATACCGGCTCGCAAGTGACTACTATCCCCCAATCCTTTTATGAACAACACATGTCAGTGTAGGACATCAAGCCTCTCTATGACCTCTTGGAGGTTGAAGGGGCGAATGGACAGGCTGTACCTTATTTGGGCTACATTGAAACTACTGTCACTTTTCCAAAAGAATTTCTTGGTATGTCTGTTGAGGTGCCCACATTAGCTCTCATAGTTCCTGACGTTCGAGCTACCTCAGGGTCCTACTTACTCATAGGGACAAATACACTTGATGTGTTGTATGACATTTATCGCAAAGCTAATCCAGGAGATCCCAAGACATTTCCTCACGGCTACAAAGCGGTCATTAAGGTGCTTGAACTCAGACACAATCAGTCTAACGTCAGTCACCATGGTGTTGTAAAACTGAAGGGCAGAATCTCTCAGGTTGTCCCAGCAGGGGCCACAGTGGTTTTGGAGGGTGTCTCTACTGCCAGCGGTCTTCAGCATGAACAATCAGTTGTTGTTGAGCAGCCTTCCAGTTCCTCTCTACCTGGTGGTCTGCTAGTGAACACTTGTCTGGTTGATCTGTCCAAACAACGACCCTTTAGGCTTCCAGTTGTGATTACCAACCAATCTGAACATGACATTGTCATTCCTGCTAAATGTCAAATTGCTGACATTAGCGCTTACCAATGTATTTTGTCAAAGGAGCAGAGTGTGGTTAACTTGCAAAAGGCAGATCTCACTCAAGAGGCCAATTGTAACTTCAACTTTGGAGAGTCCCCAATCCCTCCCGAGTGGAAGGGTCGTATCACACGACTCCTTAACAACATGCCAGATGTATTTGCGCAACATGACTTGGACTTTGGAAGAACCGACAAGGTGACTCACCACATCAAGCTCTCAGACGAGGCTCCTTTCAAACACCGTGCTCGTCCGCTACACCCTCAAGACATTGAAGCTGTCCGTAGGCACATTCAAGAGCTTCTTGATACAGGTGTAATCAGAGAGTCCGAGTCTCCCTTCTCTTCGCCCATTGTGGTAGTCCGTAAAAAGAATGGCCAGGTCCGGTTGTGCATAGACTACAGGAAACTCAACCTTCAGACAATAAAGGATGCTTACACGCTTCCTAAGCTTGAAGACACCTTCGCGGCTCTCTCTGGTTCCCAGTGGTTTTCTGTGCTTGACCTGAAGTCTGGATATTATCAAATCGAAGTGGAGGAAGCGGATAAACCCAAGACGGCCTTTGTCTGCCCTTTGGGTTTCTGGGAATTTAACCGCATGCCGCAAGGCCTGACAAATGCGCCAAGCACATTCCAAAGATTAATGGAGAAGTGCATGGGGGATATGCATTTGAAAGAGGTGTTAGTTTTCCTCGACGACTTGATAGTGTTCTCAAAGACCCTGGAAGAACATGAAACAAGGTTGTTGGAGGTGCTCACTCGGTTGAGAGAGTTTGGATTAAAGTTATCACCTGAAAAGTGTGTGTTTTTCCAGACCTCAGTGCGGTACCTGGGACACATAGTGTCCAGAAATGGAGTTGAGACAGATCCAGAGAAAATCTCTGCCCTTCGTACGTGGCCAGTTCCTCAGACCCTCAGGGAATTGCGATCTTTTCTTGGGTTCGCTGGCTATTATCGAAGGTTCGTAAAAGACTATTCCAGCATTGTGAAGCCCCTCAATGATCTGACTCAGGGCTATCCTCAATCAACCAAAAGGGGTAGATCAAGAGACAGCCAAGAGCATTATCACCATCCCAAAGAGCCGTTTGGGAACCGTTGGACATCAGCTTGCCAGCAGGCATTTGAGTCAGTTATTGAAAAGCTGACAACCGCCCCTGTCCTAGGGTTCGCTGACCCTCAAAAGCCTTATGTGCTCCACACTGATGCTAGCACTACAGGCCTTGGTGCTGTCTTGTACCAGGAGCAGGAAGGGCAGTTACGTGTCATAGCCTATGCAAGCAGAGGGCTGTCGCATAGCGAGTCTCGATACCCAGCGCACAAATTAGAGTTTTTGGCGCTTAAGTGGTCAGTAACAGAAAAGTTTAGTGACTACCTATATGGGAATCACTTTACTGTTGTCACTGATAGCAATCCCTTGACGTACATATTGACGACTGCAAAACTTGATGCAACGAGCTACAGATGGCTCGCAGCTTTGTCTACGTTCACATTCAAGCTGCTGTATCGTCCTGGGAAGCAAAACTGGGATGCGGATGGGTTATCCCGTAGACCCCACGGAGCTCTTGTGGATGATCTGAAATCCCAGAAAGAGAGGGAGCGCATTTTCCAGTTCACTCAGGGTCATCTCGCTGATCTTGAAAATCTCGAGGAAGCCAACCAAGCGGTTGTGAAAGCCATTTGTGAAAGACAGTCAGTGTATAGCGCCAGCTCTGTTAATCCGAGTTTGGATGGCTGTGTTACTCTTGTTGAAACTCTTGCTATGTCCTCTGATGCTGTGCCTGACTGCTATGGACAAGAAGATGAGTTTGGAGGATTGCCTGTTATTCCTCAACTGACTGAGGCTGAGTTGATGGATAAACAGAGAGCTGACCAATGTCTAAGGCATTTTATATCCCAACTTGAGCATGGGGTAAGCCCACCGCCTACTTTAAGGAGTGAACTTCCAGATCTTCCACTCCTACTTCGAGAGGTTGGTCGGTTTCAGCTTATAAATGGCATCTTATACCGGAGACGCCAGCTCGGGTCTCGGGTATCTCACCAGCTAGTACTGCCCCCAGAGCTCAGAGAGACTGTTTTGAGCAGTCTGCATGACCATATAGGTCATATGGGCATTGAGCGCACATTAGATCTCGTTAGGGCCAGATTCTATTGGCCCAGAATGGCCTTGGATGTAGAGAGGAAAATAAAGACCTGTGGTAGATGTGTGCGCAGAAAGGCGTTGCCTGACAGAGCTGCACCGTTAGTCAACATCAGTACCACAAGGCCACTGGAAATGGTTTGTATGGACTTCCTCTCTCTCGAACCAGACAAAAGTGGAGCCAAAGACATCCTTGTGATCACTGATCATTTTACTAAGTATGCAATTGCTATACCAACATGCAATCAAAAGGCTCGCACAGTAGCTAAGTGCCTATGGGACAATTTTATTGTGCATTACGGGTTCCCAGAAAAGTTGCACAGTGATCAGGGACCTGATTTTGAGTCTCGCACAATAAAAGAGCTCTGTCAGATGGCTGGCATACAGAAGGTTAGAACTACTCCCTACCATCCCAGAGGAAATCCAGTGGAGCGGTTCAATCGCACATTGCTGGACATGCTAGGCACTCTTCACAACAAAGACAAGTCTCACTGGCGTGATTTTGTGAAGCCCCTTGTTCATGCTTATAATTGCACCAGGAATGAGGTGACTGGATTTGCACCGTACGAGCTTATGTTCGGTCGCCAGCCTCGCCTGCCGGTGGATTTGGCTTTTGGGCTGCCGGTGAAAGAGGAGCAACAGATTTCACACTCACAGTACGTGCAAAATCTGAAATCCCACTTACAAGAGAGTTACAAGGTAGCTACTGGAAATGCTGCCAAGATAGCAGAAAAGAATAAATCCAGATTTGACAGGCGTGTGACTATTTCAGATTTGGAGGTAGGGGACAGAGTATTAGTCAGAAATGTCCGCATTCGTGGAAAAAACAAGATTGCAGACAAGTGGGAGGCAGCCATCTACATAGTGGTAAGCAGAGCAGGATCCCTTCCAGTGTATACTGTGAGACCTGAAAAGAAAGATGGTCCACTGCGGACATTGCATAGGGACCTATTACTCCCTTGTGGCTATCTCCCCAACGAGAGTAGTGACAAA